TAATGCCTAAATGAGAATACAATTGCTTATGAGTAATTGAAGTATTATATGCGAATTGCGAATGAAGTGTGTATAGATACGTGATTATGAATATGATGGAATGATAGTTGAGTGAACTAAGAATATGGAGATAAAATATACTTTGCTTCATGTAGAGAATTCATGAATGGGTAAAAGTGATATTTTGATATTGGGAAGTAATTATATTTGAATTGGAAGATAAATTGAAATACACTATGTGTCTATGGGTTAAGAACTTGGTTGTTCAAAATTTATTCAACTAGTATTGAAACACTAGCCGAGAAGTTAATATGAGGAATAATAGATTAATCCAATGAGTTGGGTTGTGAGGAAATTATACCTTGAGTAGTCCTAAGAGATACTTTAATGTCGAGACGTGTAAGCTCTGAGTATAATAGGAGTAGGCCCTAAAGGCTACTCAATCTAAACCGATTCTAGGCATAGGAATTGCTTAGGGATTGATTAACATGACTAAGAGCGGGGCTCTAGCATGTTGAAATGATGACTAAGAGCGGGGCTCTAGCATGTAGGGATGGTGACTAAGAGCGGGGCTCTAGTATATTGTAGATGGACTAAGAGCGGGGCTCTAGCCAATGTAAGTTAACTAAGAGCGGGGCTCTAGTATACTGTAGATGGACTAAGAGCGGGGCTCTAGCCAATGTAAATTAACTAAGAGCGGGGCTCTAGTATGATGTAAACGGACTAAGAGCGGGGCTCTATCCAATGTAGACAAATTAGGAGCGGGGCTCTAGTATGATGTAGGGAGACTAGGAGCAAGGCTCTAGCACGATGTAGGGAGACTAAGAGCATGGCTCTAGCATGATCCAATAGTATAACCGGGCGAGGCTCGGTGATGTTTATGCCATGTAATAGGGAAATGCCCAAATGACTATGAGTAAATTTACCAGAGGTTTATGACATTCGTGACAAATAGTCACGTGGGAAAAGGGGGATGGACTTACAAAATGCATACGGGTCTTCGGGCCGACTACTTGACTTTATATAAAGTAAGTATATTTTCAAAGAGGGTAACCACGGGTTACGACCTATATTATTATATCACCCTATTTGAGGGTCTTGGAAATTGAAACATTGATTATACTTAGTATAGTTGTCATTGTACTTGTCAAATGCTTCCAAGTACTGACCTCCCCTTCACGGGGGAGGCCACCTCACAGTTTCAGGTAGGAGTTGAGCTTGCTACCGGTGCCCGTTGTTTCGGGAAGATTCAGGAGGGAAGACGTGGTTCGTGCTTCCTCCGCCTCTGTTTTTTTTTAAAAACATTTAAAATCGATGCTCATGGATATTATTTTGAATAATTATTTGGGGCTTGTATGCCCATGTTTGCCGAAGTGTGGCGTAAACACTTGTATTAAACGTTTCCGCTGATTTAAATGATTATTTTACATTATGTTTGTTTATGGATGTACTATTGTGAATGATATTCAAGACGCCTTGTATAGTATGGATGAGTTGGACTGCGGTTGACTATTCGTACTGTACGGCGGGTTGTTGACGTGTCCGGTAGGCCCGGGGCGTGACAGTAGTATTTCTGGTAAAATTGGATACAATCCTTCTTTTCGAACCAACAGTTGATAAGGGAGATCATTTTTTGTTGGAGAGTGGGGAAGAGTAGTTCAATCAGAATTCGGGATGATCTTTGGCTCCCGGATGTGGAAAATTCATATATCGAGACCATCATATTAGAGGGCTGGAGGAGACAAACAATGGATGACTTGATTAAGACGGACAACAAAAAAAGTGGGATACGGACATCCTTTAAGACATGTTTGGGTTGAGGGATAGTAAATTATTTGCTAGTATTCCTCTCAGGCAAAGGGATGCCCTGGACCGATTAATTTGGAGATGGGATCCGCACGGGGGAATATTTTGTTAAGAGCGGATATAGGCGAATGGTGGGAGAGATGGGATGGATATATGGTTGGGTTGGACTACTATGTGGTGATATGAGTTGCCTCCAAAAGTTAAAAGCTTTTTCTGGCAGGTGTGTAGCGGGTGTCTCCCCAAAGCAATGGCCTCGAGGCAGAAGAGGGTGGAGTGCCCAGGCGGTTGTAGCAGGCGTGGGGAATATAGTGAGTCGGTGACACATCTATTTGTCAATTGCAATTTTGCGGTATTACTTTGGCAGAAATTGGGGTGGAATCAGATGGTTTCCGATGCCTTAACTTTTTTGGATTTGGTGCAGACTTTCTTCGGGAAAAAGGGCGTAGAGGACCGTTCTAAGATGATCATGGGATATTTAAGTCTTTGACGTGCTTGCAATGATCGAGTGTGGAAGCCTGCACATGCACTTGTTGGCCGATCGCATTTGTGAGCAATTATTGCATTGCGGAAGGGTTGGAAGCAGACGGAGAAACAATATGGTGAGGAGCAAGGGGTGGGTCTCGTTTGGGCAACAGGGTGCGGGTAGGGACGAGTATATGGCAACGGCCGGGGAGGCAAATTGAAGGTGAATGTAGATGTGTCAACTCGGAGAGAAAGCTGTCGTTTTGGATGGGGTGGTCAAGTCGTAGTATGGTTGCTGCTTAGCTATACAAGGGGGGTTACTAGTCATCAGTAAGGCGATGTCTTGAATTTACTCAGAAGGTTGGGATAACGTGGAATTGAAATTGGATGCGCTTCAAGTTGTTTCTAAAATTATGCATTGGAATAGTCCTACATCATTTGGTTTGATATCGGGTGATATCAGAGAATTTATACCTACATTTATTAGCATTAGTTTTTCTCATTTTAGACAATCCGCGAATCGCGTTGTTCACGACTTTGTTAGAGTAGCATGTTCTTTGTCTGATGTCATATTTAGTTTGGTGTACCTCCTGATTTTGTTATTCATGTTCTAACTCATGGTTTTTATAATGATAGTTGATTGTTTTGCCATAAAAATCAAAATTTATGTATGTATGTAATGATTCTTACCATACCTGGTTTGAAACTAATTTCTATGGAATTAAGAGCCAATCACAATTAATGAGTAAATAGTCCAATATTTTCTGTACTCAATAGCAATTAATTAATTGTACTTTATATCAAAATTAATCACAATTAATTAAGCACTCAAGAAAGCGGTGCTTTAGTATTAAATTAGTAAAAGTAAGTAGAATTGAATTTTTATTAAGGGTACTCAGCAAGTAAATGCTAGATTTCTACAATTTTACTTATTGTTATTTTCATAGACTTTTATTTTTCTTTCTGAATTGCTCCCAAAAAGAGTTTTATTTCATTTTTATCAAAAAAATATATGTTTAATACTCCCTCAGTATTTAAAAGATTACTACATTAGGTCTTGACACACTATTTAGGGGGGAAATAGTATGTGTAATGAATAATGTAGAAAAAATAGGAGAGAATGTGAAAAAGTAGAAAATAGAAGACAAAAAGTAGAAATGTAAAGGTGATTGAGTATTTTTAAAGAAAAATTTAGGGGTGGGCGCGGTCCGGAACGGTCCGGTAAACTAGTACAACCCGCAATGTATCCATTAGGTTTTTAACGGTCCGGTTTCAAGGATGGAACCGTTCGGTACCATGCCGTTTCGGAACGGTACAAAACGGTACGGTACAATGCCAAACACATGCTAAAAATTTGAACAAATCTTGCAATTAATAGATATCTTCACATCAACCAACTCACATGAAATATTGATATAAATACAAGAAATTGCATATGTAGTACTAAAATTCACAAATACACAAACAGTGCAACACAACTAAGAAAAAGTATAGCAAAACGATGACGTACGAGATAAATGTCATCTTTAATTTACTAAGTTCATGTGAAAATATAAAAAAGAATATCATTAAATTGTTGAATATAATAGAAATCTTCAATGTTCCTCTTCTTCTTCTTCTTCGTTCTAGGTTAAATATTACTCCGTAGTTCTAATTTAATTTATAGTTGAACCTTGAGATCTAAGATTTGAACCATATTAATTAAGTTGTAAAATTGCGCAAACATGATATCACAAAAAGTCATGTACACTACATTACTAGAAATGAATAGTCCTAAATGATTTCTAAAATTTTAATATTCTTTGAATACATATCAAAATATAACATAATTTATCTAAAATAAAAAATAACAATATATACATATATATATATATATATATATATATATATATATATATATATATATATATATATATATATATATATAAACACATAGCTAGTTTGGAACGCATGAATACATACTTGAGCTATAAATTAAAATTGCGTGTCTATAAAAGAGATCTATTGGTATAGAAAAATTATAAAAAATTTAAATACATTATTTTCGAACGGTTCGGTCCTGTATTTTTCGGTTCTCAAAATCTAGAACCGGTCCCGTACCTGTTTCAAACGGTTCGGTTTCGGTACGGGACAAAAATCTATAGAACCGTTTAAATACTCGGTATTCGGTTCGGTACCATTACGGGACGGCTCGGTATCGGTTCGGTTCGGGTTTTCTGCCCACCCCTAGAAAAATTTGCCAAAAAAGAAAAGTGTAATAAACTTTTAAATACATCTCAAGAGTTCCGTTCGAGTCAGGAAGGCCTGACCGGAAGCCCCGTGCGACCTTCCCCTTTTGGAGGCCTTCCCGGCTGAATTTTTTGATGAATTTTTTTGAGCATGTTCCTCATCAAGTCTAGTTTATCCATACCAAATTTCAGCTCAAAATTCGACCGGGAAGGCATTCTGCGCATATATAAAGTGCAGTATGTTTCATGAAATTATTTGACAGCCTTCCCGCTCGAATTTTGAGCTGAAATTTGGTATGGATAAACTAGACTTGATGATGAACATGCTCAAAAAATTTCATAAAAAAATTCCACCGGGAAGGCCACCAAAAGGGGAAGGCCCGCAAGGGGCTTCCGGTCAGGCCTTCCTGACTCGAACGGGACTCATACAGTAAAGTGTATCAAACTTTTAAATAAGGAGGCGTATTGCTTCACTTTATTATATTTAAATAAACAGTCATAATTTATTATTCCTCAATTACTTTATAATAACTGTATCAAAGTATCAAACTGTGTCGCATTAGTTTTTTCTCAAAAACACTCCGATAAACTCATTTCCCAGACCCAAGACTCCAAGAAGCCATAAAGACTTCTTTCATCACGTTTGCGCTCTCCCCCCGCGGTTCTGCATTGTGCTGTTCTATATCCACCATAGCCTGGCAGGAATGATCGCGACAGTAATTAAGATTTCAGCACATTTATCTTTATCACGAGTTACTATAGCCCTAAATCATCTTTCTAACTGAATTTGTTTCTTATATTTGAAATTGTTCTTGAATATGGAGCAGCAGAGAAGTGGATCCGGGCAATGGGCAAGCCCTAGATCCCCATCCTCTATCCAAGGGGGACCGTATCTTTCAGTTTCAGTGACTGATCCAGCTAAAATGGGCAATGGCGTCCAAGCTTATATTTCATACAAAGTCATCACTAAGGTCATCATTTGTTAACTGCCTTTTGAAGTTTTTTTGTTTGATAAGCAGTACTACATATTATTTAATTGAGAAAATTACCAAGATACGGCTACAACAAAATAATCAATTAAGCAGGACTAGCATCCCCCCCCCCTAAAATAGGACAACCACTGCTCCCCCCACAAAGTGAGACCTATTCACTTAATTACTCATTAACGTTTCAACTGTTTTTATTTTTTATTAGTACTGAATAAGTCATATTTTAGTAACAAACACTGTTAGTCATATTAGCACATGTTTTACTCCTACTAGGAATTTTTTATTTTATTTTATTTTATTTTGTTTTATTTACTATCTGAATGTCTAGTTTTTTCTCGAGTTAAGTGTTGGGAACATTATCTATTGATGTTGTCCAGATGGATTTGGGCAGAAGGGTGCTTAAGTATAAAGAGTAACAGACTAATATACAAACTCATGGCTACTCCTCTTACACGTTTGACCCTTTTAGTACGAAACTACAAATCCCAGATTCCCAGGTCTTTATAGTCTTTTTCGGCATAGGATCTTCTCATTAGGGTCAAACTATAATTAGTGTTTTCTACCTGTTATTTGGAGTTAAAATTTTGTGTTTCAATGTGTGCTCTGTACCAAAATATGTAATTGCAAATGCTAAAACATCATTTTAAATTTATATAGTTCAGAAAGATAATTTTTTTATATTAAGAGAGTTGTTTCTTCAGATTGTATCTTTTTTGGAGGGCTGCAGAGAGCCTAAAGTTCTGTGATGGGTGGGAGGGTCATCTTTTAATTCATGGTTAACTGAACTAGTTTAATGGTTATTTATGTTTAGTTTTAGGTCTCTAACTCTCTATAGTTTGAAGTACAAAAAGCAACACTTCTTGTTTGTTTAAGACTTCCCTCAACAACAACCCAGACCTAATCCAGCTCATTAGGAGTTGGTCGGCTACATTAACTAATAGAAAATTTCTCTAGTTCATCTAGCAAATACCCATTTTCGTACACTAGTTCAGTGAATGCTGTTTTTAGCCCTCAAGTCTGAACAGGGTCTTTTTCTTTTTGACGCCTGATGCACTCGAACCAATGTAACTGGTTTGCTTGTACCTTATCTTGAATGACCTTTAGCTGCTATACTCATTTTCTCCGAATCTCCCCATTCCACAATCTTTCTTATTGATTCTTATAACATCCATCTTAGCATACTCATTTGTGTCAGCCATCTTCTATGTTGAATCTTTCTTAATAGCCCAACAATCCAACATTCTTATTCATACAATGAAGCCGGTCTTTAACATACTTATAACAATTTTCCGTTAGGTCCCATAACGATCACAAATCGCAATATACCCCTATGCATCCTGCTTGGCTTAGTTAACGTACATTGATCTTATTTGTCACATCATTGTCAAAGTCTCAACTTTCTTTATAGCTAACCCAATCTCTTAGAAACAATCACGTACTGATAGTTCATTTGCGTCCAATTTGGCTCAATTCTGTATTTTTTTAAAATCTTTAACGGCGCGAGATTTGCACTTCAACAAGTCCCCTTTTACTTTGACTTTCTTTCAATTCTCGTGGGTGTAAATTTTAACTTTTATCTCCATATTTCCAACTCATCATTTAACCCTTTTTCATATTCACAAACTAACACAATATTAAGGATGTTTTTACTTGGACTGTAATTTGTCCCAGACCAGTCCAGACCAAACCAGTCCATTTCAGACCAGACCAGACCAGACTTGGATAGTTATAAAAATACAAAGAAACCAGACCTTACCAGACCAGTTCAGACCAGTTCAGACCAGACCAACAAATTACAGTCCAAGTAAAAACATCCTAACTGCAGACAGAATACAAGTATACTATAGTAGTCCATCTTGTGTAGTCCTGTAAACTCATATAAAGACATGTTAAGTTTGACTTATTTAAGTACAAGACAAGTTCCCATCAGACTTAAATAGACTAGATCAGAGTAAACCCGGCCAACATTTAGTAGTGATAACAAAAAACGAATAATAGTAGACCATATCAATTAAGATGATAAGATCAAACCAGTTTAGTCCAATTATCAGGCCCTAGAATTCCAACTTTAGAAAATTCAAGCACGCTGTGTTGGCTCAACTTTTCACTCCCAAATTAATTGCTATGGTGTAAGTTTTCTTATATTCCAACATGACTTAAGTGACTCTTGAAATATGGTTAAGTGATGCTGAGTATTTTCTTAGGAATGTTCAGCCTATAATATGTTTTTTGCTTCATGTGATTTCAGTACCGGACACTGAGTTTTCAGTTTTGGTGCTATGACTCTACAATTTGTATGCCCTCCATCCCACTAAACTTGGCAATTTACTTTTCATATAAACGACAACAACAACATTACCCAGTGCCGCAAAGGCTCCCACCTACGGTAGGGTAAGGGGGTCGGATGTACGTAGCATAACCTCAGTACTAAAGCACAGAGAGATTGTTTCTGGATGACCCATGATGAAAATCGCGTTGAAAATTGCATGGACTAGCTACTGTTTCATAACAAAGAAGCGCGGACAGTTTAGTGAGACATATGATCAACACAGTATTTTTTTATTTTCGTATATTGAGTATCAATTTTTCATCGTATTTGAATTCTGTATCTAGTATGAGGACTGTAGTACAAGTGTCCATATTTGTGTAGGGAGGCCTACAAAATTTCCTATTATTATCGGAGTGCAACAAGTATCGGCTTTGAATTCCTTCTTATTTTCTATAGACCTATAGTCATAAACTTACGAAGTCAATTCAAGACGATATACCGTGGTGCATGATATTTGCTGATGATGTTGTATTGATTATGAGATGCAATCGGGTGTTAAAGCAATGTTAGAAGTATGATTACAAATGACGTGGTATAAGTGTTGAACAAGTATACGTGTTGTAGAATGACACAATGACGTTGCAGTTTCATTTTGTGGGAACCTTATATGCTGTGGTGATTCGATTGCTATTGTCCAATGTCTTAAGTACAGGAGATATTCAAATCTTCTATCTGAACAACACTTTTGTTGACATCTAAGACATTTAGATGTCTTGCTGTTGTCTTACTTATGTGGACTGTTCACCTATAGTGAATAATAAGCAAATGATCCTTTACGGAGTATTACTTAGGAGATCCGATTGCATGCTTTTCTTATTATTCTGAAATATATTCTACATGTGCATATGGCTGGGAGCAACTGGTTCACGCTTCTTACTATTAGCTGAGTTATGATCGGTCACTTATAAATTGTGTACTTCTTTTCTTTTAGCTCATGAGTCATGATATGACCATATTTACACAATGCCTTATAGTTCGAAATGTTTATTGGCAGACTAATATGTCCGAGTATCATGGCCAAGAAAAGATTGTTATTCGACGTTACAGTGATTTTGTTTGGTTGCGTGATCGTCTTTTTGAGAAGTATAAGGGCATCTTTATCCCTCCACTTCCAGAGAAGAACACTGTAGGTAATGAGCTACAATATCCCCCGCCACAGACACACACTGTCCTGGTTTCACGGATATTTGATTTGGCAATCAAATTTTATTGTTATGGGATTTGAGAGTAGCATGTGTCTAAATGCCGTTCTCTTGCAGAGAAGTTTAGGTTTAGTGCTGAGTTCATTGAGATGAGGCGTCGAGCTCTGGATATATTCATTAACCGCATAGCTTCACATTGTGAGCTTAGACAGAGTGAAGATTTAAGAATTTTTTTGCAGGCAGAAGAGCAGGTACTTAAATATGATGAAGAAAATTCCGTATTTAAATATCTAAAGTATAGTTTCTGAACAAAGTAAAGAAATTAATATTTAAAATAAGGGATATAAGTGTCATGTCATCAAAGTGTATCACTACTTTTTTTTTCATTTTAGCTAATGAGAAGGAATAGGTGATCACCAAATGGACACATTATAAACACAAAGTGTATTGCTCTGTTTTTTCATCATTGTTATTTAGTTCCAATGACATTTACGATGATCATTATGGATTTTTTATGTTGTATGTCTTCTTTTATAGACAATGGAGAGAGCCAGGTCCCAAGACACTGGTATTTTTAAGAAGAAACCAGCTGATCTGATTCAAATATTTAAGGTAATTATAATTTTCTAAATGTGTAGTTCAATATTTTGTGTGAAAATATTTTCAATGAGAAACTGCATAGTGAGGCACTGTAAATGTTGTAACACTTGACCGGACTATGAAGATGTTTTCTTTTTCATTCTATTTTCACCAAAAATGTCTTTGATAGTAAAAATTCATTCCCAGTTCCAACTTACCTTTCATTTGATCTTTATCTTTACTTAATGAGAAACTGCATAGTGAGACTGTAAATGTGGTAACACTTGACCGGACTATGAAGGTGTTTTCTTTTCAATTCAGCTCTTACCAGAACCTGTGTTTTCCAGTAAATTCATTTCAACCTACCTTTTGTTTGATCTTTACCATTCCATCTCTCACTGTGTTGAAGCAATATGTCTTTGCTTCTTTGCATTAAATGGTAAATATATTCTGTGAATAAAATGATTTTTTTATTTACCTATGGACTATGGAGTTCAATATTGACTCCTAACTATTACCCCTCGTGAAATGTGTGGTTGGCATTTGTGCTGGTTGCCGTGTTTTCTTATTGATTTTTTACTGCATTTGGCTAAACTTATGGTGCAAGCTTATGTTAAAACAATTAAATAAAAAAGCTAAAGCTTTTTTCAATTGTTTATTTCAAGGGGCTGATCAGAATATACAAATTTGCTTACAACAAAGTTTATATTCAAATTCCAATAAGATAAATCTGAGGGAAACAAGCTCTTAAGAACTCTGCTAGTGATTTTTTGGCAGGATGTACAATCAAAAGTGAGTGATGTTGTGCTTGGAAAGGAAAAGCCAGTTGAAGAATCCAATCCTGAATATGAGAAACTGAAGCATTACATATTTGAGCTGGAAGATCATCTAGCTGAAGCTCAGAAGCATGCATATGGTCTTGTAAAGAGACACAGAGGTGCCAAAAACCCATTCTTAAGACACTATTGTATGTGAATGCCCACAAAAGGAGATTCCTAATTTGCGATTCCTAATGTCGTTTTCGTATGATGTCTAAATTCTCTATACATCATTGAATCTGTGCAAAATTAGACGCTATAGATTTTACCCAATTGTGACTTTCATCAGTGTGTTTAGTTTTTTTTTTTTTTTGTATTTATCTCATTACATTTCATTTCACTACTTTGTGATCATCTCGTATTCATATTTATGGTGATGAATTGGTTGCTATCTCTTACGTTGAAAATATCCAGAATTAGGAGAGTCTTTGTCAAACTTTGGGAAAGCAGTCAAGCTTTTGGGGACATCTGAAGACAATGCACTGGGGAAAGCATTTTCTGAACTTGGGGCAAAATCTGAGCTGATATCAATTAAGCTTCAGAAAGAGGTAGTGTCTGAATTGGAAATCTACTCATAATGTTAGATCTCTTTAAATTCTGAAATTCATTGCCTAATTTATTGCTCTCATCTAGGCACATCACCTTCTAATGAATTTTGAAGAGCCACTGAAGGATTATGTCCGAGCTGTACAATCAATTAAGGTGAGTTAGCAACTGTGTTGATTACTACTCCTTCCGTCTTAAAAAAGACTTAAAGTAAAAAAATTGCCCTAGAAAAAGAATCCTGTCTCAAAAGCTGGATTTTTACATGGCTGTTGTATATGGTTGAAAAAGTACCAAAACTTTGGTAAAAACCCATTCCCCAATGGCGGCTCTTTGTGTCATCTAATTCCAATGTGGTGATATTTTGGTGAAACTTGAAAATAATAGATCGCAGCCTTCTGACTTGGTCATGTGATGTAATGTTTTGTTTATAATAATGATAATGTACAGGCCACAATGGGAGAGAGATCAAATGCTTTCAAGCAGCAGTGTGAACTGGCTGAAGCTATTAAATTTAAGGAGATAGATCTGTATGACTTTGTAAAACTTGACAACTTTATTTTCTTGTCGTTGGATTTATTATGGCTTTCAAAGTTGAGGCTATTTTTTGTGTGTATTAAAAAATTTCCTGCATCCCAGAAACAAACTAAGGTTAACACGATCGGAGAAACTGCTTGAGGTTGAGCGTGAATATGAAGTGGTGAGTTGGCTTTTGTGGTTGTGTTGACAGGACAAGAAGTTTTCTTTTCTTTCATTTCCTGAACAGACATTGCTTGATACAGGTGAAAGCTGAGGGGGAGGAAGCGACCCAAAGATTCAGAAAAATAGTGGAGGTGATGAATGGAGAGATTGTCCAATTTCAAGAGCAGAAAACATTGGATATGGGGATTGCTTTTCATGAATTTGCGAAGGGACAAGCTAACCTCGCAAAAAGCATTGCAGAAGCCTGGCGAGGTCTCCTTCCTAAGCTTGAAGCCTGCTCTTCCTAATCACACCGATATTTGGTAACCCTTCCATGTGTTGTATCTTCCACTAGCTCTTGATCTGCTTGTACAGATCTCTTAACAAGCAAACAAACAAATACATACATATAATTGCTCAAGCCCGTTATAATTTCTCACTTGCTTCTAGATATCATTATCCCACTATTCCTGCGAGTAATAGCATTTTCATCATGAAATCCTTTCCCTTGAATATAGTGCTATACTTCTAGTTCAAATCATTTTCAACTGTTTTATCATGGAAAGCGACTTGTTAAATGTTCTTTATCCTTGGGCATTTTTTGTTTGGGATTGTGTTGTCTTTAGGGACTGCTGGGTTTAAGATATGTGATATTTGACCTGCTACTGAGTCACAGTTGACTTATCTTCCCGATCTTGGACTGAAAATTTAAACCTTAAGAATATTGTTGAACTAACCCATACCCTTACAAGGAGGGGATCCAAAATTCATGTCCATATATATATATATATATATTGCGACCATCGGCATTCCTTTTAGCTTTACATGAATTTTTCAGTCTGAACATTCTATATACCCTTGAATCCTTGGTACAGTCTAGCCTTTCCCTAATTTCTTACTTGCATATCTCATATGTAACCAAACTTCTTTGATACCTTACATATATTTGAAATTTTGAAAACCAATTACGTAGTATAAATTATCATTCTTGTTTAACACACATCATCATCAACATAGATCCATATTCCAGTGTTATCAAGAAATAAAAAAGAATACACTATTGTTTATGTAACAATTACTCCGTATTAACTCAAGGTATGTATGTAATCATTGTTAAAAAAGTTACGAAGTATTTAATTTGAATTTATGGTAGTGACACGGATCTAAAATTTGAATTTGTGTATTTGTTGTACCTTTTCAAAGTTCAAGAAACTTTGAATCAAGAGCTAAGTATCCATGATTCAACATTTATTGAGGAAGATAGCTGCATAGGAGGTGTTTACTTTGCTGTTAAAGTCATATTTAGGTTAAAAAGTTGTTTGCTAATCGAAAGAGGTGCTTAAAGTGCCGCTTACTAAGCATATCACTCCATATATTAATTAAGCAGCACTTTAAGCTATTTAAGTTTCCGAATTATCCTTACCCTTACCCTATTTTACCCCTCTACCCACCGCGCCCTTACCCCTACCATACCCTACCTTAGCCCGACCCCACCCTATCCATACCCCTTTTACCCTACCCCTTTACCCCCTACCACGCCCCACCCCCACCCTATGCCATCCTACCCCCACCCGTAATCCCTGACCCTTACCCCTACGCCATCTCCCCCTACCCTACCCCATCCCTTACCACCCTACCCACCCCCACCTGTTATCTCCTTACCCTACCCCTTACCCCTATTGCTTGCCCCTACCTCGGCCCCACCCTATGCCAACCCCCCATATCCTTTACTACTCACCCCCACCCGTAACCCTACCCCGACCCTAACCCATTTACCCCCTGCTACCACATGCCCCTACCTCGACCCCACCCTATGCCACTATACCTACCCTTACCTTGCCCCCAACCTTGCCCCTATGAGTAGGGTAGGTGTTAGGGGTATGGTATGGGTATGAAGGGTTATAGGGGAGTAGCGGTAGAGGGTAAGGTCGTGGTGAGGGTAGGGGTTAAGGGTGTGGAATTTGGGGGTAGGGTGTTAGGGTAGGGGTGGGGGTGGGGATACGGGGTATAGTGAAGGGGTAGGGGTTAGGGTTATGGGTACACGTACGAGGTGACTCCACATATATAATATATTTGTGTTCATGAATTTTTGTGTGTCTATGTATATGATTATTTTGGACATTTTAATGTTAAACGGTGTTTTAAACCATTTGAAGTAAACATGAGCTTACAACACTTCTTATTTTATGTGACACTTATTAACGCGAGTCTTAATAAGTACCGTTTAGTAACCGGTGAAGTAACGTGTCCATAGTATTGCGTACTTTTGAAATCAAAAGAGAAAATTCCCGAATTAAGAGTAAAAATGTTCCAATAATATTTATTGGTAAAACCCTTACATTCATTAAGTCGTCTTATAAATTTGTCACTTACTTTTATTTACATACCAAAAATGGAAAGTGGAAAACCATTTTGGTACAACCAAAATTGGAAATTTTGCAAAACAAATTGGGACAGAAGGAGTATGTGTTTTTTTTAACCGATAAAAACTTGAATGTGTTGGTCACTAAGATTCAACTTCATCGACACTGGCCTTGTTTGGTAAATGGCTGTTAGTTGGTTGTGTCAACTGTTTCCTAACAGCTGTTGCTGTTAGCTGGTTGTGTCAGCTGTTTCCTAACAACTGGTTGTGTCAGCTGTTTCCTAACAGCTGGTTGTGTTAGCTGTTTTGACCGGCTGGTTATGTTAGCTAATTATAAATAACTGTTTGGTAGAATTGACTGTTTCGAAATGGCTGATAGAATGTAAAAAAACATAATAATACTCATTGTATTTTATTATTGCTAAGAATGAAAACTTTATAAGTATTGTTACTTCAACGATATAAATCATTTTTATAATTGGAAATTTTAAAATTTGTTGAATAAAATCTATTTTAATATTTACTCATCATACTGCAAAAATTTATAGTATCTAATTTTATAATCACTCAATCATCTAAACCAGAAATATCAAATTATTTCAAGATAGAGAGCATAACTAATAATATAAAATATTAGTTAAGCATATATTATTTGTCTAGATAGTACTACATATTTGATTAAACAAGTTTTGTTTAAAATAATTAGAGTAATTATTGGTAATAATTGGTATATTATAACCAATTATATATTATTGGTATATAATTAGAGTAAATGATTAATTTAAAAAGTGCTAACTCAAAACAATGAAAACAAAAGGAGTGAAAAAAAGAAAAATTGGTAAGCAAAATAATTGGGTTGACTAAGTTCAAAAAACGAGCAAAACCACAATGGGAATAAATTGGAGCTATATGCGGTCACTTTGGGAACTTCGAGCTATACCCTTATGGGAATAAGGGTATAGCTCGAATGAAGAAGTTGCTCCCCTAAGCTTCTTCAACCGTCCATTTCTTTAGTTTTTCAAACTCAACAAGCTAATTTTAAAAGTCATTTACCAAACATTATTATTAGTTTTCTTGACTAATCAAACAGCTGAAATAGGTCAAACAAACTAAAAGCTGGCTGATAAGCCATTTGCCAAACATACCCATTAGGCCATTTACCCATAATTCTAGAGCCTATTAAGTGTATGTATTCACTTGCGGAAATGCTGAATAGTTTCGGCATGTGTAAGTTTAAATTACTTCGTACCATTATACATGCATATTATCAGAGAAAAATCAACTATTTTTTTTACGAATCAGTTAATAAAGAAATGATCGAGGTGCATAAAGTTTGGAAAAGAAACGAGGTTCATGAGTTGACTACTGCATACATGAGTACATATGTTCATGGACATATATCTATGAAGACTATCAACCATGTTTGTTGTACAATTTTTTGTACTCATCTGAACAAACACTCAAGAATAGACTACTTTTTGTCTGCCAAAACATGTTCACAGACATGTCTTATATAAGCAAAAAATAGCATGTTTACCGACTTGTGTACTCATGGATACAAAAATGTGTGTACGTTTTTTTTCCTATATCCTTGCCCCACGCCCCCACCCATACATACCTAAAGATGAACTATTGGGGTATATCACGTAGGGGTGATAATCGAGTACTTGGATATCTTAAGGATCGTGTAAGTTCACTTTCCGAATTGATATTTCTCCCCTATGCATAAGTTACAAGAAATTCAATCTAGGATAATCCTTAAGGACACTCTAGAACTTAGGCACAAGAACTAGAGCCAAATTAGTCGAGTATATGGATTGTTATATTTAATTTGAGTGCCAAAGTGATGAAGATATGTTGGATATGTTTCCTCTATCTCCTCTGTACGAAATATGGTGGTATATATCCATATTCACCGTCCTAGGCAGGTGCAACACGTTTAAGAATAACCGCAGCAGTTTTTGGGAAACTGCTGGAAACTGCCTAACCATTCTAGAACTCGGTCTAGAACCACAGAGCTGGTCTACTGAAAGTTATACCTCGAGTTCTACCTCGAGTTCCACTAACGTAGACACTTTGGAATTAAACTAGTTCTTATATATAAGTGTGCACTCTACACCTATTAACTTGTATTAGATCATAGTTCTAATTCACATTGGCACTCATGTCATTTCCAATTACACAAAACGGCTGGTGACACTAAAATCACGGACATGAACTTGGTTGGGTTCTTTAATATAATTTTCTCAGTCACCAAGTCGTTGCACTAATTTTGACCACTAAATATATTTCGTTCATTATTATTAAAATTGAAAAAAAATAGTTTTTAAAAATTTAAAATGAGGGGAAATTTGTATAGTTTACTTTTTATGTGAACCTCACGGGCTCACGGTGTGTGTATCAATTCGAACTCAGTGGACACCATAATCAATTTAAAATGATTTCTTGTGTATGTGGAGATTGACAACATTGCGAACCTCAAGAATTTTTAAAGCGATTCAAACTTACTCTCTCAAAGTTCAAGTTAAAGTCTTGAGAATTCATTAAGAAAAATGTTTTGGTAAATGACAGACATGTGTACACATTTTGGTACCCCAAACAAACTCCATTCATTAAATAGTCCAAGTGAAACCATAATCACATGATACTAACAAAATATTAAAGATGTTTTCTTTTGGATTATTTTCAGTCCTATATCAGAACAGACTTCCGTAGCTATAAAAAAACATAAAGATCTGACATTTATTAGACCGGAACAGCAAATTTCGGTCCAAAAGAAAACATCATAATAGTGCAAAAATTAGTGGCCGTTTGGAGGAGGAATTATTGGCTAAGCCTCAAAAGCCATAAAAATACCCAAACACCTATTGAATTGGCTGGTGTGGCTGTTTTGTATTATCAGCTGAAAAAATAAGTGGATAGCTACTTTTTCAGCTGAATTCTATTATCCCTCCACTAAATTAGTAGAAGACACTTTTATCCCTGCTTTATTAAGCCAAAACTCACCTCTGGAAACCTACCATAGTGCTTCCGATTTCCCTTTATGGCCTCATCAATGGATTCACGTATAAATTCTAGTGGAAACCTACGTATACTCAAAAATTGGAAACCTACATATTGGATTGAAACATGCCTTCAACAAAAATAATTCCTAGTGGGCCGTATAGTACATTACGTATTTAATACACTCATACACGTTATTTCATATGGTCTAATAATATTAATACCCTTTATGGTAATTACACATTCAAGCACCCACTTCAGTTAGAATAATACCAAACACTCTCACTTCAGAAATTTCAGTCATTTCAGC